TTACACCCCAGATTTCCCTTTTCTTCCTCTACTCAAATCCACTACCCGTTGCCTCCAAATCTTACCAGAACCCGTCGAATATCCATTCGAAATTTTCCGGCCAAGTCGCAAGTTATGCCAAACGGTCCCAAATTAACACCATGGGACCGCCTTGATCTTCCCTACCCAACCCCCATAGCCATGTGTCTCGAATATGGTCTGAATCGCTCAAATATCCGATCAAAATTCGGCCAAAACCCTAAATGCTCCAAACCCCACCAAATTGGTACCACGTGACATTTTCACCACTCTCATGAGGAATTTGTTGGCATTAGCATTCAAATCGCACCAGAAATAGTTGAATTTCAAATCTGAAGAGTCATGTGACTTTGGGAGTTACACAGATGAGTCCTCTTTCTTTGGTGTTTGATTTTTTTTTTTGTTAAGATTAGGTTAGTCAGTGTTTTTAGGTTTTACATCAAGCCTGCAATTACTAGTTTTGAAATCGGATAACCGTTAATTGTATAGCCTAATTCTCTTGTTTGTTGTGCCCATGCCAAATGCCTTGTTTTAATCCTTCATCTGTTTTAATTCTGTTTTTGATTGTTAGTTCGACCTGGTGTTCATGTCGATTAGGGAGTGCCTGTTTGTGATTTGAGTTATGCCTCTGTTGGTGTAGTTAACAGTCGTCGTCGATTTGTTAATTTGCCTATTAGTCTATTATCTTTTGATCAGCTTCAATCATCTTGTGTGTTTCAGTTTTAATATGTTTAGTACTTCTTTTAGGTTAATCAGTGATTGCTGTTAACAGTGATTCAGTGGAACGCCTGGTTCAATTAGTGGTAATTAGTTGAATTTGGCCATAGCAGATGGGCTTAATTAGGGCAGAAAGAGGGCTAAAGTCATTCTGGTCTGGGTAGTAATTTCAGGAGATGCAGAGGGTAGTTTAGGCATGGAAAAGGGTATTTTCTTTAGGATTGGTAGTTTTTGAAAAGGTTTAAGGGTAGAACAGGGATTATGATAGGCATAGAACCTTCTAGGAAGGGCTGTAGTGTAGATTCCAATAAATTTAGGATAGTTGCTTGCATAACAAGTTGGAAATAGTGGGGTAAAAATTAAATAAGGGAGGGACTAAAAAAAAAGAAAACTAAAATCTGAAGGTCTGCCTATAAAAAGGGCATACACACTGCCTTGTAAAAAAAGTTTTGGTGGAGACCTCTGAAAATTCCCCAAAAACTTTCCAGCTATTAATTTTCCTCCCAAATCCCTTTCTGAATTCCTGGATTGCAAATTCGAATTTCAAAATCTAAGGAAGTTCAAAATTTGCATTCCTATAGTTCAAATATTCTTCTAGATCTTAATTCCTGTCAAAAAATCCAAAAAAAAAAACATACAAAAATCCAGTAGAAAATTCCAAAAAAAAAAGATACTGTTACATTGAAATTTTGAGTTTGATTGCAAGTTAGTTTTAATCCGAGTTTCCTAGTGTTTCTAGATTCAATTTCAAGTCATTTTGGGTTTTGTTCAGGCTGTTTTGGGTTGTTTCTATTTGCTGAAGCTCAGAAATCATCTCCTGGGTTTAATTTCGAATCATTTTGGTTTATTCAAGTCTATTTGGTGGATTATTGGAACTGTGTTTTCACATTTTGGTTCCGGACTGGTTCTGGTGTTGTTTGCTGACTGTATATGAGCTGCAGCTTTGCTATTTGCTACTGATTCTCCTTCATCTTATTGTACTTTGATTCCAGGTACACATTCTGAGCTCATGTCAATGTACATCACAAGCTGAAAATGAAATGATGTTAACGTTTGAGTTTTGTTATAGATCCTGATTGTTTACTGCTTATCGTATGCTTTCATGGTTAGCTGAATTGTAACAGGACTCTATAAATTATATTTGACATTTGGATTGATTATCGTTAGTTTACGAATGTATTTGTATAATAACTATGATTTGCGTAATTAGCTGATAATAAGATAGCATCAGTTAGTTTCTTAAAAGTCAGGAGGTAATCAGAGTTTGAAGCTGGTGATTGGACTTAAATCTTGAAATGCATAAGAGGTGGTAAGCTTGGGTCAATACATGAATTTCAGCTTAATATTAACGTTTCTGGTGCTGGAATCAAAAACAGCGTTTAGTTTGGAAAGTTTGTTGTTCGAATTTGATACTTCACTTTAGTTAGTAGTCACGCTAGTTTAATCATAGCTTCTGAGATGATGAAGTAATACGGCAGTTTAGGCACAATCTGGGCATAGGAATTTGATTTTAGCAAATAGCTCTTGTTGATTTGAAATATAATTCCATTGTTTCATTGTTGTAAAACGTGGAGTGCAGTATGAATCTGGCCCATTGGCTATGAAATTTATCAAGCTCTTTTGGTTTGGGCTCGCCAGAATCATGGGTTAGCAGCCCATTGATAATTTAATTGGGCCTCATCACGTTCAAGGTGCGATACAGATCTAGTTGGGATTTACTTCACATTCAGACCTGGGCTAAAAGTTCACAGCTCAAAATGCTAGAAGCTAAAAGTCGTTAAGATCGTATTGGAAATACGGGGATTAATTTGCAAGTATAAATTTAGGTTTTCGAGTTAGGTGGCGGGTTCAAATTGAGAGGGTCCTCCCTTTTGTTTGAATTCGGACTTGAACTCGAGGCCTAAATTTATAAATGTAAATTANTGGAATTTGAACCAAAAAGTTCAAATTCCAGGTACACGCTCAAATTTGGCTTGATGTAACTGTGAATGGAGATGAAATAAAGAGATGCTCGCCCCATTGATTCCTAAATTGTACTTGCTTTGATTGTTATGTAGTAATAGCTAAGTAGATATGAAAGTCTAAGATGATTTGATTCTAATTTGTGTACACATGAACTTTGGACTGTATAATCTGGACTGTTCCTAGACTATTTTGGATTGTTGTTAGATTATTTTGGACTGTTTTGATAATAGATTCGAACTAATCTATGTAGGCTTCATATCCTGGATTAAGTGGTAATACATGATCAAAGCTCGTACAATAAACGTTAGACCATTGTGCGATTCATGCTAGTTCAAATCCTTGGATATCCGAATTTGTGTCCAGTTTTTGCTAAACGTCAGTTCCGAAGTTATAAGCTTAAATATCACATGAGCTCGTGAGTAATTGTATAAGTTCTTGTTGAATCAATTGGCACTAGCTTAGTATGGAATCCCTTTGATTAAATTCTAAAGATCAGCTAAAAAAATAATAAAGAAAAACCTTGATCGTTCTTACTTCAAACGTGTGCATCCCTTTTGTTTGTCCCCTATTCATACTCAAATGAACCTGGTTATTAAAAGCTAAATGTTCAATTTTACCTACTGTGTGAAGATCCAGAACTTGTTCGAATTTGATGTTGGGCCCAGTATAACATTTGAGTGGTACAAGCTGAGGCCCAGTTGCGCTACAGTGGTTTTATAGAGCAAACTGTTTTCCTGGATTCCTTTTAAGGCCCAATGAATGCTGGAAGTTTCATGTTTCAAGGTCCAACGAATGCTTCAAGTTAAAAATCCTTTTTTAAAGATATACATAGGAACACGGGGATTAATTTGCAAATACAAATTTAGGTTTCGAATTAGGTAGCGGGTTCGAATTAAGAGGGTTCCCCCTTTTTGTTTGAATTCGGACTTGAATTCGAGGCCCGAATTTATAAATGTGAATTAATTAGGCCCTTTAGAGACAAAAATGAATAGAAAATCTTAGTTTGCTTTAGGTTAGCCATAAAATAATAAAACGAGACGAGCCTTGCCAAATAAAATTGCATAGATTGCGAGGTCCTCATTAATTGCTTATGATAAAATGCTTAGAATTCGGGATGTGCCGTTTAGCGAATTTCACGGTCTCCCGCAAAGATAATAATCCGTTAGTCGCTATAGGCACGTATTAATCAGTTTACCTTCTTAAGTACGGGTGCGCATTTCATGCAACCCAAATCCAAATCCTAAAACGTCGAATAAGAGGCGTTGAGGATCCGGGTGCATTTCATGTGACGTGATCTGAAAACGCGCTCTTAAACGGCGTTCACTTTCGTAAAATAACTAAAAGTGGTAAATAATCCTAAAACTGTACGATGGAATATGCATAAAAATCAGATTTAGCCATTTATAATAATTTAAGCGACCGTGCTAGAACCACGGGATCTGGGGGTGCCTAACACCTTCCCTCGGGTCAACAGAATTCCTTACACAGAATCTCTGGTTCGCAGACTCCAATTGGGAAGTCGAAATATTCCTCGATCTGGGATGTAAATTAAATCGGTGACTTGGGACACCAAAAGCCCGTCCTATCCCAAGTGGCGACTCTAAAAATCAAATAAATAATCCCATTTCGAATAATGTCACTTTAAATGGAAAAACTCCCTTTTATATTTATCCTTCGGGGTGGGTGTAAAAAAGGGAGGTGTGACAGCTCTGGCGACTCTGCTGGGGAGCGAACCCAGAATTTCGATTCAGGGTTCAAGAATTCGAGCTTAGTACAATTGTTATATTTGGCTTTACCTGATTTTCTACATGTTCCATGCTATATGTGCTAAATGTTTTACCGCTTTGATATTTGTTGAAATTGTATATATAAACTGTCACGAATCCCTTCCTCTTTCTGAGTCTTCTACATCATGGAGAAGGGTGCACTTCGTGTAGCTTCTCTTCTGTTTAGAGTCTTTTCCCATTTAGAACGAGGTTGGATAAGTTGCAAAGCCGGCGGAGCTTCTGTATCCCCGGTACGCTGCCTCCCCCTCGGCCCGAGTTGTCCGCTCGGGTAAGCCAGGTCTAGACCAATAAACCTAGGGTTAAANTTTTTAGCCGCTCTAAAAAATAATAGTTGACAATATATATATATATATATATATATATATATATATATATATATATTATACACGGTTTACAACAACAAATATCATGAGATATATATCAATCTCACGGAGCATATATATTATTTTTCTTCAACTTCCTGGTCAGGACGATCAAAGGTGGAAATATAATTTGAAGTATATGCGCTTAGGATTCTAGTCCTTTTAAATTAGTAGGATCTAAATTAATAAATTGTACGTTCAGAATGAATCTTTTAGGACAAATACAATATTTGAATCAAAGCAACTAGGTTCGGCCGAACACATAGCCCACAGTGACACTCTAGCTCAGCCCCTGAGGACGATTATATCGACAAATGATAAGAAAATAAAGGAAGTTGAGAATATTGAAGAAAGCAAATAACCAGTAGTAATAATCTAGATGACCCTTGTTGATATTACTTGACAACCAGCTAATTTCACCTCCATATGAAGTAACACTGTCCAAAACATTCACTATAAGACTCCCAAAAAAGCCAGAAACAGCCATCCCAAGTGTGAAAATAGCCACAACAAAACTAGACATGCTTTTAGGAAGCTCAGAGTAGAGGAACTCTACCAATCCAATGGCATTGAAAGCATCAGCTAGTCCGAGAAGCACATACTGTGGCACGAACCACATAGCCGACATGTCTACTGATGCAATATTTGGTCCATCTTGTGGATATATATCTTTCTGATCAACTGCTATATCCCGCCTTATGCCTTCTGTTATCGCTGAAAGTGCCATCGCTACAGAAGAGAGTACTAAACCAATTCCCATACGAAGAACGGGGCTTAAGCCTCCTTGCTGTCCGGTATGTCTAGCCATTAGTGGCACGAAAACACCATCATACAAGGCAATCCAAAATATTAGAGTGAATACCATAAATACAGAAAATGATCCAGCTGGTATTTCAAAATCAGATAAGAAGATATGTGTATCCATTGTCTGTATTTGAAGTGTGGAAAATGAGAACTGATTTAAGCTCAACTGAATCATTATGTTGCTGGACCATATAGGAACAACTCTAAGAAGAGATTTCAAAGATTCTACTTGTTCTACACTACAGAGTCTCCACGGATTTGAAGCGGATCCATCACGATTTATGTCTCTTTGCGGATCTTCAATTATGCAAGCTTTATCTAAACACCTATAGAAATATCAGTCAGAAAGTTATAGCCTTAGCTAATGTAGCTAATACAGTCAAACGTCTCTGATTTTATTGGATGTTATAGCGAAATGTTATTACAGAGAACATATATTATAACATAGTATGAAAATTGGTTCCATAAAAAACTTAGTTTTTACGGTTTTTATATAGCGATGCTGTTATAGAGAGGTCTGACTGTAGTTTACTTATAATCTTGATTTAACCAGGAGTAAACATAGGGTACCCTTCTAATGATCATACCTGAAGCTGTTTGTTAAGGCCTGAATTTCAGAATCAGGCGAATGATGATAATGGTTTTCACAATTAACAGAGTGAAGATTGATATTTCTTTTTCTAACAGCAGCAACAAGTACTTGAAAGAATCCAATGAACAAGCTTTCACTAGCATTTACTTTGATATAAAGAGGAGAACCCAAAAGAAAGGCTGAAACAGAGAAAAGCATAAGGATAGCAGGAATTCCAAAACCAATTTGCCAACCAAAAGCATCTTGAATATACACAATTAAGGTTGTCGCGACGAGTGTTGACATTCCAATAGTAGCATAGTACCAGTTGAAATAACTTTCCATAATCCTTTTACTGTTGGGGTTTTCTTTGTTGTCCAACTGATCAGCACCAAAGGCTATAGAACAAGGTCTAACGAAACCAGCTCCTACAGCAATAATCCCAAAAGAAAACAATAACACAAAGAACTGTGCTGGTGTTGGTCTGTTGCATTCATTGATTTCAAACTGATCACAAGGTAAAGGCCTCAGTTGTGGAACCATGGTTGTTAACCAAAGAATAGTCATTCCCTATGAAAACAGAATATATATATATATATGTCTCAGAAAACATACAAATAATTCAGCTGAACTGACAAATAAACTTTATGGAACATACAAAAAGGCTGGAGATGGATCCAATAGCAACAACCATAAAGCGACCCAAGAAAGAATCAGAAACAAAGGCACCCAAAAGAGCCAATCCATGGGAAAGAGCAGACCATACATTCAGTATGCTTGTAGCTGTTACAGCTTCTAAATTATAACCTTGCATCAAATATATTACCATGTTTGGCTGCAATCCATAACTTGCCACTTTCTCTAGTGTTTCGTTCACTGCAAAAGTAGAACCACCCACAAAAATGATCAATCTTGAGAAAAGACTTAACAAACAAAACAAAAAAGATAAGGAAATAAACACAATAAAGATTTGCATGACCTATGATGAAAGGCATGGTTTTGAGGCCACCCTTTGTTGGAGACTTTGGAGAATGATCTATCAAGCTCTCTTCTTCTTGGATAATAATTGCCATCTTTTTTTTTATTGTAATTATAATTATAATTCCTTTATTACTTGGTTACTTTGCAGCAAAAGAGTGGTAAAAAAAAAGAGATTGCAATAACACCAGAAATGTCACTCAAGATAGAACTTAGTGCTTTGGCCCCACTGGGGAACATCTAGTGTCAAATATCTGTTCATTGAAGAGAAATGGCATTTTCAGATTAGAGAGAATCACAAATAAAGTAAGCACCTTTTCATAATTCTACCAGTGTAATAATTATACAAGTTGTAGTAGTATTCAAGTGATATTCATTAAACTTTTGACTAAGAAAATTTTATTTTTATTATTCTTTTTCTTTGAAGAAATAGCTACATGAAGAAACCAAAACAAAATAAATGAACACTCATAATTTTGATTAATTGAAGCTAATTTGATTGTTTAATATAAAGAAACCAACAAGTACGATCATGTGTTTCCATGATCATACATTATTAAGTTCCTCGTTACAAGAAAGTGAGGATTTGGCAATATTTATTTAGGGACCATTTGAAATAGATGGCTTCCTCATAATGGTCAGTGCTTTTATATTAGATCTTACAATTCCATGGAAGCCTAAGAATCAGCCTGCAAAATCACAGAAAAATAGTCCAAGTTTCAAAAATTAAACGTTAGGAGGAACATAAAATCTAAAATCACATTTATAAACGTCGACGACATATATAAAGTCTCATAAACATAAATCTAGCAGTAGAAAAAATATACAAAAAGAGAAAATAAATATAATATTAGGATATTTATAATTTAAAATAATCGAAAAACTATTTTAAATAAATAACACTCAAAAAATTTATTGATAAATTTAGACAATTAAAAGAATTTTGAATAGTGGACAAAGATTCGATACTATTTCGATGAATTATGTGCTAAGTGGCATCACTATAACATGTCAAGTTTAAATTTTTAAGACAAAACTCCAATAAAAGTTTCAAAATTATTTTAAAAGAAAAAAAATTAAAATTAAAACACTAAACCTGTCAATTTTAAAAATTAATACAGTCAAACCTCTCCATAACAACATCGTTTGTTCCGAAATTTTTCGACTTTTATAGTGAATGTCTGTTGTACACCCATAACAGCATTTGGCATTTCAATATATTTTGGTTGTTATAGACAAAAATTATCCAAAAACTAATTGTTTTTCTTTTATAATATTATATATAAAAGATTAATAAAATATTTAAATTCAAAATCTCAAAAGATATAAATTTCACGAATTAAAATGCTAAGAAATCTAATACATTATTAAAAAATTCTTAACTAAACGCACAAATATTTAAACTCTAAAGCACACAATTAAAAATTACGAATAGATTACGTTTACATATAATTGATAATTTTCCAATATAAGATATATTATATGTACATCTTCAAATAAAAAAAGAATGATATGCATATTTCCAAAAAGTATAAATAGATCTTTTAAGTATTTTTTTGGCATTTTTCTAATGTAAAATATATCATTTGTAGATCTTTAGTTATAAAAATATTGGATATGCATATGTTCATGGAACATACTGCTATCCTTAAGATAATATATATATAGCTATTATAAGTTGTACGTTAAAGTTATTTTGCTTAAATATTTAGAATTATTTTTAGTAATAATCTTAGAAAACCTGCATGACTGTTATAGAGGGGTAATTTTAGAAAGAGTGTACTGTCATAAAGATGGTTGTTGCTGTTATAGGCAGAATGCTATTATAGAGAGGTAAAATATAACTTAAAAAATCGGTTCTGAGAAAAGCTAAGTTTTTTTAGTGAATGACTGTTATATAGGGATGCTGTTATAGAGAGGTCTGACGGTAGTAGTCAAAACTCAAAAGCCCTCATATTAATACTTGTTCTTAAGAGACATATAAAAGAAAAATATGACTAACTCAAAATAGATCGGAGGAAGTAACTTCAAATTCCCCTTTTATACTTGATGAAATGATTCATAATCACACAATTGTTTAAGATTTATTTTAGACCAATGTTTTAAAAGGCAGGGGCATGAGGCGAGGTGTTTTAGCTCTGACGAGGCGAGGCGTAAGCCCTGAGACATGGGGCGTAAGTCCCACAGATCTTTAAATTTTACTAATTTCAAGAATTTTAAGATAGTATAAACTATAAAATAATTATAAAAAATTATATTAAAACCACAAAATTATAACAAATAATCACTTTAAAATATTTATAAATCATAATTCAACTATGAATAATATAAATAGTATGACATATATCATAATATGCAAATAACGTTGTTACAACTAAAATATCAAAGTAATGTATTCGATGCAAAATTTTATATGTATCTCTTAAGGAGTAATGAATCTTGAAAGAATTTCGATATTATAATTTGATATTTTTTTTAAAATACTCCTTTTATTTAATGTGCTTTCTATTTGAAAGAGAATTTATATAAAAATATAATTAACAATTTAAATATGATTCTCTAGCATCATTTATTTTTAAGTTTCGACAAGTTAATTAATAAAATGACACATAATTCACCATACAATATCATGATAACTAATTATTTGTAAATAGTTACTAGCTAATACTGAGCTATTAAATTAATAAGTATTGTACCTCGTAAACGTGAAAAAAAATATTTAGGAAAATAATTATAACAAAATTATGGACTACTATAATAAAGACATAATAAAAGTTAATAATACTTTTAAGTAAAAGATTTATTTCAAATCTACAATCATAGCAGTCTTATTGAAAAACATGCAATAATTTTTATTTTAATTATGACATAAAATACTCTCAACTTAATGATTTATGATTAAGAAAAGAGTAATTTTGAATAGTTAACACTTTATTAAGAAAATTTGAGGATTTACAAGGTTAGTTACACACAATTGTATAAAGTTCTATTAGGCGAGCCTAGTACGTTGGGCGTTGGGCGTGTCCGGGGCGTAAGCTCAGAAGGCCGAGGCGTAAGTCTCACGGAACTAAGTCCCACACATAAGCCCAGTGGCATTTTACTAGTGCTCCGATCCGACCCAAGGCGAGCCCCGAGCGAGTCCCAATTCCATCTTTTAAAACAGAGTTTTAGACCATAAGTTTCAAGCGTCTTCCTTTTTTTTAGTCAATCGGTGGAAATATATTTTTATTTAGTTAGTTTCATATAAGGAGGGGTGGGGTAGTGATCCTACTTCCTTAGGCATGGGCGAAAGTAGTACGAGGAAATTTAGTTTCAATGCAATTTCCTGTAAGTCCTAGTATTATGTATTGTTAATAATAATAGTGCAAGTTTCTTGTGCTAACATATAGATGCAGTCCTATCTATATAGCGCCGCAATCGTTTTGAAATCTATCACCACTTGAACAAGATTAGAAGTTACAGTTAAAAAAAGAGCTAGTGAAAGTTTAACAAAGTATTTGGACAAATGTGAATAGTTTTTTTATTTTATTTTTGGCAAAATAAAGGTAGTGAAAATTTGATTTTGGGAGTATATGTTTGAGGATCTGAAGAGGAAAGAAAAAACAGCTTCATCCACAGCCAACTTGGGTGTGTTAGCCATGACCTCAGAAGTCAGAAATGATCTGAGAGGATATATCCATACCAACCATGGGTGCGTCAGCAATAAATCTTGAATTTTGAGGAGTTCGTTGCATCAACACTCAAAATGCCCATCCACCATGATTGGGCAAATATTTTTTTAGAAGAAAAAAACACTGCTTCAAAAAATAATACTTAGAAAAACTTTGCTCGAAAAACTCAAACAACCACCAGTTTAAAAAATTTAAGGAGATTTATAGAAATAAGTAGTAGTGATTAATTTAGAGCGATAGAAGTTCAGAGGGATAAAGTTGGAATTTTTAGCATTAGTTCGACGGGAAATTTGACCCTTTTCCCTTGCTAAAAAGGCTCATATGCTGGAAAGCTTGTGGCGCTAGTGAATAAGAGTATATTTAAACCAATCTTGTAACGGCACACATATATTTGACCTTTAAGTACCACCTTTATGAAGATGTGAATGAATATGGATCGGGTTGGTTCAAATCAACTATATCGGTTTGGATTGTTTGATTTTGACACGTGTTTCGGATTTTTCATTACTTAAATATTATTTCAATCTCCTTTGTTAACTTTTTGATAAGTAAATATATGTTTAGTGAAAATTTAAAAAATTGACAAATATATTATCTATTAAATATTCTTATGGGAGAATTTACTTAGTAACACATGATAGTTTTTTTAGTGGTCTGACAATAATTTTTCATTGATGTACACATTCAAGGTTAACCGAATTTCGTAATTAAACATAAAAATCAATATGATACCTAAATAATAATAACCACTTCAAATTCGTAAAAGATATAAAATTTAATTGATCTTAACATATGAATATGGAAGAACAAAGAGATTGACGCATTTCAGTAACACTTGATAAGAAAGTGATCATACAATCCATTATTTAAGGTTAATTGATCACGCCCAACTATGCCCTCTAAAAAGGACTCTGCGGACGTTGCAAATATAACCCGAGTATTACGCCCAGGGTCGAATCCACAGAGAGTTAACCTATCAACCACTATCTTCAGACCCACTAATTCTTCTGAACCAGCTTCCCAAATATTCAAATCTCAGTTAAGTGTTCTTTAACAACTAGCTTGCAAGTAACTAAATAGTTGTAAACTAAATTAATAAGGTTGTAAACAATTATGAGGAAGAGCTAAGGCAATGATTTCCCCTATTGATGGAATCCCTTCTGTTTATGCTCATACAAATTTACCCACACATCTCTATCAATCATGAACGCTAATCTTACCGCAAATCTCTCCCGAGTAATCACAGTAATCTACTATTGCACTCTCTCGAGATACACTAGCTTACTTTATTTAGCACAATTCACTTTAGATTACACCCAAGGCTTCGTTATCCCTAATCCCGCCTTTAAACCCGCAATTATAGATTCCTCTAATAATCTAGGAGTAGTGTTGTTCAACAATACCCTAAATATGCACTCTTTTCCAAGTTATGCACACTAAATAGGCACAGCTAATTGAGGATCCTGTCAATTAACTACAACGAACACGAAGTTGAACAAATAGAGATTAAACTAGCAATTTGTATTCACATAAACAAGAAGTTCATCACCCAATAGGTTCCATCAAAACCTTAGACAAGGAATTTAGCTACTCATGGCTATGGGAAAAGAAACTAAGATTGAATTCATCATAAAAATCAAAAGAAAAGAAGAAAGATGTTTAGAGTATTCTCTCACAATGGTTTTCCTTGCTAAGAAACCTTAAAAATCAATACATGCCTCTCTTGGGCGAAGTCTAATGTTTTAAATAGGGTTTAGGTCTAAAAATCCCGTAATTGACACTTTGGTCCCTGAAGTTTACTGGGTCTGCCGCGGTCGCGGTAGAACCGCGGCCAAACACCCTCGCGGAATCTCCAATCTTCAGCAGCTGCTTCCCACCGCGGTTCTGCCGCGGTCGCGGTGGAACCGCGGTGGGCCCAGTTCTCTGAATCTTCGGCCTGTTTTTTGCACGCGTCACTTGGGAAATTTCACAGTTGGNCAAACAAGGTGTAAACGTGAGTTTTTTTTTTTTTATGATTTTTGTTGCTAAGTTATTTGAAAGTTAGATATAATTTTGTAACTATCAAACACGAAAAAACTGCAAAATTATTACAAGTAGGTAAAATGACTTTAAAAAATTAATTTAACATTTAAATTTCAAAAGATAAACAATTAACATTATCCTAGAAAATACCTAACCCCAAAACTCAACGTACGTCTTTAAAAAAAAAAAAAAAACTACTGCCCTTAACTTCGTCATCAACATCTTCTTAATTAAAAACCTATTATTCTTAGAATTTATATCTGCCAAACTATGCCAACAAATCTCAGCATTCTAACAAACAGTGATGATCGGTACGAATACAAATGGATCTGTAACCATAGCAGGTTTCTTGGTCGGTCAAAATATTTTTCAAGGGGTATATATCTATCAAA